AAACCGGCACCTTCTGTACCAACACCAACAAAAACAACAACAGAGCCAGTAGTGGAGACTCCGGTATCTACTGCAGCTACACCGAAGTCTGTGAAAGAGGAAGTACCTGTTGTTGCAAAGCCAGTGGAACCGGAAGCAATTGCAGTGGAAAAGTTGCGTATTGATGAGGCAGCGGAAGAGGGAATAATGGAAGAGGGTGGGGATGAGACTCTTTCTGTGTTGGATGATTTTCCACAGACGATGGAGAGCATTACAGAGAGCAAAAATTCATCGGAAGAAGGAATTGAGTTTGAGGATGTATACGTGGAATCTCCCTCTTTTCAGGAACCACAAGAGAGGGATGTACCGTTGGAACCCGAAATTGTGGAAACTGAAGAGGTTGTCATGTACAACACGATAGGGTCCTTTAATAAGATTTCAGAGAATGTTGAGGAAGAAGAGAATGAACTGGAAGAGGAAGAATATGAAGGGAAAGAAATGAGTCACCCACGTCCTTATTTCCCACCTGCGGAGCCGCAGAACCGTATCTCTTCTACAGATGAGAAGAGTTCTATGAATGCCGGTGTTTCTACAACCCCTCCCCCGCTCTCCGCTGTGGAGTTATCGCAGTACTATCACGGTGTCCTTCGTGCTCTCTACGAAGAAGAGAGTTTCGCCTCTGCACTGGCGTGGATTAAGTTGGGTGTTGCCCACGGCCACGGTCGCCTGCATTGGCTCTTGGGTGTTCTCTACGCCAACGGCATTGGTGTTCCACAATCCGATGCGAAGGCCATTCTCCATCACACCTTCGCGGCATTAGAACATGTGCCGGAGGCTCATATGGCTCTTGGCCGCCGCTACGCGGATGGCATTGGTGTTGCCAGCAGCTGCGAGAAGGCGTTGCGGCATTACCGCGAGGTGGCCGACATTGTGGCCCATAGTTACAACGGCGTACCAAATCCTCTTCAACACCTGCGGGAAATGCGGGGAGGACGACTGGTGGATGAGTCAGAGGCCATGCAACTTCTCATGTACCGCGCAGATGAGGGCGCGACGGATGCCCTTCTCGCCCTTGGCCGTATTTACTTTCGTGGTCGGCGTGGAATACCGCGAGATTGGCACCGCGCCCGTTTATATTTCCTTAACGCTCTCGATCGTGGGGAAGTCGCTGCGTACGGCGCACTTGGACAACTCCACGCTACCGGCGATAACACCGCACAACCGGCCATTGCAAGAGATTTGGCGACGGCAGCAACGTATTATTCACAAGGGGCGGCACAAAATGATCCTGTCTCACTTAATGGTATGGGATATCTTCACGCGGTTGGTTTCTACGTGAATGGGCAACCCGCCACACCAGAGGGAGAAACAGGAACAGAAGGTGCTGTGGATATTGAGAGTAGTGATCATGAAAAAGGGAAAGCAAAACCAGATTATGTAACAGCAGCAGAGTATTTTAGGTTAAGTGCCGAACATGGGAGTGTAGAGGGTATTTACAATCTTGGTGTACTCTTATTACACGGTCGTGGTGTGCCACAAGATGTAGTGTCAGCAATTAGACATTTTGAAACGGCAGCCGTTCGTGGTAATCTCCTCTCATTCTGGCAACTCGCACGTATTGAGTATGATAAGGGGAATTGTATGCGATCATTAAGTTATTATAGTCGTGTAGCATCTTTTAATTCTTTCTTTGATTCCTCTAATGACTCCCCATACTTTCCATTGGATGAAAAGGGTATATCCCCACCGATTGTACCTCGTAAAGGTAATACGCTGGTACAATTATTTGAGGTTCTCTCACTCGCAGAGGCTGGACACATTTCCTCAAGAAAAAATGCCGCTCAACTGATTGAAAGCGTCCCAATAATGGAAGAACCACCTGAAGCATTGGAAAATGAAGTCTTTGCAAAGAGCGGTAGACCACCAGAACGTGCAATGAAGAATGAAAGTGGAGTCATCTGGTTAGAATGGTATCATACCCCAACAAGTAATACCTTGACAGAAGAGCAAACACCATCTTCCCCACGGCTGCTATCACAGAGTGAGGCACTTAATATGTTACGACTGCGAATATATGGAATGTCCGCCATTTTTGGAAACCCTGAGGCTAATTTGCGTCTTGGTGATTTTTATTATTATGGTGAAAGTCGATTAATTGGTTCAAGTATGTCACAGGCATTAATGCATTATGAAGCGGCTGCTAGCAAACATAATCCCAAAGCATTATTTAATATGGGATTTATGTATCAATTGGGTCTAGGCGTTAAAAATAGCCGAAACGTTCTCGGTGTTAGAGATGCTCTTATTCGCATTATCACTGCCGGAGCTGTGGAGGATGACATGAATGATGATAATACTAATAATAATAATAATAATAATAAAGAAACCGAAGCAAAAGAAAAAGGGAAAGCAGCTAAAATTATTGCTGCAGAGGAGATGCGGCTATACTTGGCGAAGCGGTATTACGATCGTGTAGTGGAAGCAGATCCTACGGGTTCTGTCTATGCTGTTAACTTTGCACTTATGTCTCTTAATTTTCAATGGTGGTGGCTGTACTTCTCACGACAACGTTATGGTTTTTCCAAACTATTGGGTTTACCAATGCCATTTGAGCAGGAAGATATAATGGAGGACATAACTGACACATCTGTACTTTTATCTTCTGACAAACAAGAGGGAGAGAATCGACCTCATCCATACCGACACGATCAACAACAACAACAACAACAACAGAAATTGTCTGTTGAGAGTTCGAGTTCTACTTCTACTTCGAGTTCTGTGGTTCACAAGACTGCCGCAGTTGGGGATCATTGGAGTTGGGATGATTACATTCTTATTTGTAGTTCACTTTCTTTGTTCGTCCTTTTACTGCTTCGCCATCACGGGGCGTGAAGAGGTGGGGTGGGGTGGGGGAAGTTTATATGAGAGGAGAAGAAAGAAAAGAAGAAAAAGAAGAATGGAATAGAATGAAAAAAAAAAAAAAAAAAAAAAAAAAAAAAAAACAACAACAGTCATGTAAAATGAATCAGGTGGGTGGAAAGAAATAAAAGAAAGAAAGAAAGAAAGAAAGGAAAAAAAAAAAAAAAGCCAAAGCAAAAACTTAACACAAAGAAAATAAATTTTTTTATTTTGAATTTCCCGCCTTTACTGTGTGCGCCCCTTTTACTAGAAGTTGTTTTCGGAAAGTCTTCCCTCTGTGTGTGGTGTATTTCATCTGCAGTCTTTTTTTTTTTTTTTCTTTTTTATGTTTCTCTCTCTCTCTCACTTTTTGCGTTGCTGTGTTGCCACGAGTAGCGATTAATATTGAGATCGTTTGCTCCACAGTGTTTACATTCCCCACTCCCCCAAAAAATCCCTTCACTATTACAAAAAAAAAAAAAAATAAACATACATTGCAGTGATGAAAGCAAATTAATTAAATAAATGAAGAGATCTATTAAAGAAATTTGATATTTTGCTTTTTCTTTTTCTAACGTTTTCTTCTATTTTTGCTTGCTTTAACGAATCTTGTATACATTAAAAGGAAAGGAAGGTGTTCAAAACAAAAAAAAAAAGACAAAAGGTAAGAGACAACCAGAGTGAAACAAATATTATATAAATATAAATAAATAGGTATTTATATTTACCTATTTATTTTATATTTATATAATATTATTGCAAACAATCTTTTTTTTTTATCGTGAGAAGAAAGGAATAAAAAAGAAAAATCGAAATTGCAAGGAAAGGAAATAAAAGTACGAAAAACAAACAAAAGAAAAGAAAAAAAAAAAAACCTCTCATCCTCTTATCATTTGGAACATAAACAAAGAAACAAACAACATAAAATTATATATTTATATAAATATATTTATATAAATCATGTTTCGTCGATCTTGGCGTATCCTATGTGCTCCAGCTGAGCGTATGGTGGAGGAGTTTGATGTTGTGATTGTAGGTGGTGGTCCTTCCGGTCTGGCAGCGGCGATTCGCCTTAAACAACTCGCTGGTGATGCGAAGGATGACTTTCGTGTAGGACTTGTGGAAAAGGGAAGTGAAATTGGGGCACATACTCTCTCTGGTGCTTGTATTGAGACCCACGCATTAGATGAGTTACTTCCGAATTGGCGTAAAGCAGATGAACTTCCTGTAATGACAGCTGTAACAAGTGATTCGTTTTATCTATTACGAGATCAGAAACGATATATGAAATCTCCACTTCTCCCACCAACTCTACATAATCGAAATGCTTATATTATGTCACTTGGTTCACTTTGTAAGTGGATGAGTGATCAGGCAGTGGAGTTGGGTGTGGAGTTGTATCCTGGTTTCGCCGCCGCAGAGCCGGTGTATGATAGTAGTGGGAAATATGTAGAAGGTGTACAATTAAATGATGTGGGAATTAATAAAAAGGGTGAAAAAACTCCACAATATGAACCTGGTATGATTTTTAAAGCCAAACAAACCATCTTTGCTGAAGGATGTCGTGGTTCTTGTACAAAACAATTAGAAAAGAAGTTTAATCTTCGTGGAGAAAAGAATTTTCAGACCTATGGTTTAGGTATTAAAGAAGTCTGGGAAGTTCCATCTAAAGTTCATCGTCCAGGTACAGTTATGCATACTATTGGATGGCCTGTTACGGATAAAGGACATCACAATACATATGGTGGTTCTTTTCTTTATCACTATGGAGAAGGTTTAATCTCACTTGGCTTCGTGGTTGGTCTTGATTATAGTAATCCATATATACGACCCTATATGGAATTACAGAAGTGGAAAACACATGAACTTGTGGCTTCGCAATTAAAAGAAGGAAGACCCATTTTATACGGAGCGCGAACACTTGTGGAAGGAGGATATACTTCTCTTCCAACCTTACATTTCCCTGGTGGATTACTTGTTGGGGATTGTGCTGGTTTTCTTAATCTTCCTAAAATTAAAGGTACACATACCGCTATGAAATCTGCCATGTTAGCAGCAGAAGCTATTTATGATGATGCCTTTGCAGCTGGAAAAGAAAAACGAAATGGTGTAGAATGTAAAAGTTATGATGATCGATTTCATAATAGTTGGTTATATCCTGAACTATATGCTGTACGAAATGTACGTCAGGTATTTGCACGAAATTTCTTTATGGGTGTCTTTTATACAGGATTAACTACTATGATTACAAAAGGAAAGGAACCAATAACTCTTACCCATCATCAACCCGATCATAAAGCCCTTAAACCCGCTTCTGAATGTACACCGATTGATTATCCAAAGCCAGATAATAAACTTACCTTTGATCTTCTTACCAATCATAGCCGTAGTGGAACTGCACACAATGCGGATCAACCTGTTCATCTGAAATTAAAAGATCCATCTCTGGCAGAAAAGGTAAATCTCGCCGTTTATGATGGACCTGAAGGGAAATATTGTCCTGCAAAGGTGTATGAGTTTATAGATGGAAAACTGGTGATAAATGCACCGAATTGTTTACACTGCAAGGCGTGTGATATTAAAGATCCAAAACAAAATATTAACTGGACACCTCCAGAAGGCGGTGGTGGTCCTAATTACAGTGCACAGATGTAAGTTTTTTTTTTTTGAGAGAGAAGGAGAGAGGAGAATAAAAAAAGAAAAAAAAAAAAAAAAAAAAAAGACAACAGTAACTATAAGGAAAAAGAAATAGAAAGAAGGAAAAGAAAGAAATAAAAAAAAAAAGGTGTTATTTTCATTTTGGTTTTATTTATTTTTCTTTTTTTTCCCTGTTTCTATTTTTATCTTTTTCTTTTGGTGTTTTTCTTTTTTCTTTTTAAATCACCTGCCTGCGTATCACTTTCTCTATTTTGCACTTTCCTTGCTTGAACGTTTTTTTTTTTTTGTTTTCTTTAATTGATATGGGTTTGTGTTGTTTTTGGATGCGTACGATTTGCTTGAGAACGAGATCTATATATTTATATATTGATATATTTGTTTATTATTATTATTATTATTATTATTATTATGATTATTATGATTATTATGATTATTCTTTCTCTTCTCTTTTCCTTGTTCCTGATGTGTTTTTTTTTTTATATCTCTACAGCAGAAGGGAGTTTCTTTTTTTTTATCATTTTTTGGAAGTGTTTGCAGGATCTAAAAAGAAGAAAAAAATAATAATAAACCCATACAAGGCGGGGGGATCAACGGCAAATACAATCAAAAGAAAAAAAAAGAAAAAAAAAGCAATAACTACCAACCAACACAAACGAGCGAAAGAACGAAAGAAACTACATACATTTACATATACATTCAAACAAGTAAACACTTATAAAAAGTAATAATACACACAAAAGAAAAAGAAAAAAAGAAAACAAGTAGAAAAGATAAGTGTTACAAAAAAAAAAAAAAAAAACATGTCACTTCACTGTTTCTTTGGTTTGGAATTACGGGCCGACGGTGTGCCAATCACTCCACCGATGCCTCCCAACACTTCTCTGGTGCTCACACACTGTGCCCTCACCTCCACAATGCCAGGCACTCTTACTTTATATGTGCAGAGCCACGATCAACCAAACCGTTTCGCACTCTGTACACTCTCTGCAGATCGCAGTATCTTCTACGCCCCACTGCAACTCATCTTTGCACAGAAAGTCTCCTTTACACTTGTGGCCTCTCAGACAACAACATCATCAACATCATCATCAAATGCGGCTTCTGAAAAATATCCAACGGTGCACCTTACCGGTTATTTTGAGAGTGATGAGGAGGGCCAGCAGATTGGCGCAGGGTTTGATGGTATAAACGAAGATGATGATGATGAGGAAGAGGATATGGAAGATATGGAGGCAGCAGGGCGAAAACGTGCGAGGTCCGATACAAAGAAAGAGAAACAACAACAACAACAACAGCAAGAGGGGAAAAAGAAAAAGAAGAACAAGAACAAGAAATAAGAATGAAGACTTGGCAAGAGAGTGAGGACTAGGAGAAATGTGTTGAGAATGCATATGTGAAGAGGAATAAAGACACCTGGGGAAATGCCGTCTAGCACAGTCGAACTATATATTTATTATTATTATTATTATTATTATTATTATTATTATTATTATTATTATTATTGTTAACGGTTAAGGACTGCGATGTGGTGAATACCCAAAGGAAAGGAGTGTGAGAAAAAAACGAAAAACAGCAGCAACAACGAAAGACGTTCAGAAGAAAGAAATGTTTTTTTTTTTCTTTTTTTTCTTTTTTTTTATTTCGTTAATCAACTGTTCAGTACCTTCTTCTTCTTCTGTTTCATATTTTCTCTATTCCTTTCCATCTTTTTGGTTTTCAAATACATGTGGACAAGAAAGAAGAAGAAGAAAAAAAAAAAAAAAAACAACAGACAGACTCGAGAAGTAACGATGGTGCAGCTGGCCATTGTTAAAGTGCCTATCACCTCTGTACGTGAGGCACTCCTTCTCTCAAAAGAGAGTAAAAGACAAGAAGCCGGAGTGGCAGTAGACGAAAAGTCTAATCCTCTCACAAAAACAACAACAACGTTAGTTCCTATGCCATATCCCGTGGGCAGTAGCACTCTGCAGGTGACAGGCGTACACGTTACTTTACACAATAAACATAATAAACATAATAAACATAATAATAATAATAATAATAATAATAATAATAATAATAATAATAATAATAATAATAATAATAATAATACTAACAGGAGTGGCGATGACAATTCATCATTACAAAGTGACGAAATCATTGTCTTCATTCGAGCACATGTTAAAGGCGAACTGGACACAAAAACACGCGTTTTCACTGTGGCTGCGATTACTTTAGGCGGTCTGCGAGAAGTGGGAGATCCTTCAGCAAAGCGTCGTGCAGTTAATGACATCCGTCAGAAGATCCCTGCAACGGGAAACAAGGGAGGGAAAACGGAAGTGTCCGATAAGTTTTTGGGGCCGTGTTCAAGCTTCGCTAAGCTTGATCTCCGATTACAGATGGAGAAGATTAGTTTTTCTGTGGATGTGTTTTCACCCACGTCTAGGCGTAAACCAGTGAACTACAGTGATGGGAAGGATCTTTCAGATAACTCCCTAACGGTGACAGTCCTCGGTGTGGTCTCGCCTTTGGTGATTTCGTAATGGGTGGACGTTTGGTAAGCCTGTGAATCCCAGCAAAAGAGATTGGTGAGAAAAATGGAAAAAAAAAGAAAAAAAAAAGAGGAACAAAGAATAAATCAGAGAGGAACAAAGACATGAAAGAAGAGATGATGTTGTTGATGGTGGTGATGATTTCTTAAACGGATAAACAGTTTGTGTAATAATAATCTACAGCAGATATAAGCACATATAAAAGGGATATGCAAAAAAAAAGAGCATGTATAGAAACAATTAAACTACTCTACTTATTTTCCATTATCTGTATGTTCTTGCTACCTTTGAAAACAAACAAGGAAACAAACGCATAGGAACGTCATACATATACGTGAATATAAAACTATTTATGCAAACTGCTTGTAAAAAGAAACAAGGGAACAGTATCTACACACTTAAAGTAAGTGGGAAATAGATCATTCCATTTTTATCAACACATCTGTAGAACAGAGAAGCAAAACAAATTTTATTCTTACTACAATGGATCCATTAATACCTCATCGACGGACCCGCATCGTTGACCTGGCTGTCATGCCTCGCAATGAGATCATTGAAATAGCGAAAAAACAGGCAAATAGTATCCGTGAAAAAAGCAATCGCATTACTATGTTGGAAGAGTTGGTTGAGCAACTTACTGGCCAGCCACCACCTGAAAGTGAAACTTTACAGCAGAACTCAAGTGATAGTTCCATGGGATCAGTACAACCATTGCCATCTGAACCGCGTAGTGAATTGAAATTACAACAGGCCATGGAAGAAGAACGCCTGGTGTACGCCACAGAGTTGAGTCGACATGAGGGACACATCCAGGAGCTGCAGCAGCAACTCACAGAAAAGACCCTAGAGCTCACTGAACTTCAGGAAAAGGTTCGGGTCTGGCGAGAAAAAGTAATGATAACTTCACAACAGGATCAGAAGACTATAGCAGAGTTACAGGAACAACTAGAAAAGTATCGCGTTAGTAGTGGCGTGACTGGTACATCGTTGCTCTCAGGAATGATTCCTCCCGAAGTACTTGAATCTGCCGTACAGGAGAAACTTTCCGTTTGGAAGGAACGTGTAAAAGCCAAAATGCAGGAAGACATGGATCGTATTGAACAACTGGAAAATGAGCTACAATCTCTTAGGGCACCCATGTTCACTCCATCTACTACGGCAACGCAAACAAATATTAGTGATATAAAGGAGAATGAATTAAAAGAAACGCACATGGATCCTCAAAGTCGTTCCTCCCACATTCAAGCCACCGAAGAAACAATAGAAAAAGCAGTAGAAGAACGTGTGGCGAAATGGAAGAAACGCGTACAAGAAACCATTGAAGAAGACAGGCGAGTGATTCGCCAACTTCAAGAACAGCTAGACGAGTTACGCTCAAATTCACGTGAATCCAACATTTCTCTTGAGGCTCCGAGCGAAGTGGTAACAAATATAGGAATTGCTGCAATATCACAAGTAAATGAACTCCAAAATCAAATGTTGGCTAGTCAACAACAACATAAAGTGGTTATGCAATCATTGAGAGAAGAGGTGGAGCGACTGCAGGAACAGCTTGCTGCTGCACAGCGTGAACATGAGGAGGCCGCTGCTGCACTGGAAGCCCATCAGCTTGATGCTGCGCAGTCGAGGGACGAGACCATTGCCACTCTTTCACAGGAGGTGG